CCAGTTGCTGAGCTCGAAAAAGGGAAGGGGCCCAGGTAGAAGGTGGACATGCAAGCTAAGAAAAAGGGCAAGGAGAAGGTTGCTGCAGAGCCCGAAGAATTTTTGTGATTCGTCGACGCTGCAACATCAGAACGATTTGAAAGCTTCAAGGACCGAAATCTGCTAGGAGAAAGGGGCTTTCCATCTGACTCATTCATGCCCTCCTTTGTCTCTGCCACCATCAATAGGCATGAGTGGCACACATTCTGCGCACAGCCCAAGCCTACGGTCGTCCAAGTTGTTCAAGAATTCTATGCCAACCTCAACCCAAGAGACCCGTCTAAAGTGATGGTAAGGGGTAAGAAAGTCTATTGGAACGCAGAGGCCATCAACGAGGTATATAATCTCCCAAACTATTCTCATGCCACTTGTAATGAAATGATGGTTGCTCAACAGTACTACACCCTTGATCGTGAAATATTGATTTGAGGAGCAACTAAATCGTGTTATCAAATGTATTGGGGTAGAAGGGTCGCGATGGCAGCTTTCAGTCAGAAGAGCGTAGACTTTTCTCCCAACTTACCTTAAGCCCGAAGCCAACGTCTGGTATCATCTTGTTAAAAGATGTTGATCACAGCAAGCGTGGAAGAAATGCTGTCTTTGCGCTTAAAGAAGTCTCAAACACGCAGGTCAGCTTGCTGCAATAGCTCGGCTCCATTGCAGGAGTAGTAGCAGCAATGGCGAGAAGACAACAAACCTACATGCGCTATGCCAAAAAGAGAAATGTCGTGATCCGCAAGGCCCTTATGCGAAATTTCCCCTGCCATTTTCCCTCTTTCCCAAGATTTCCAGAAGACAGGCCTGATGAAGATTAAGAAGTAGATGGTGCTGGAGCATCTCAACCTACGGGTGGCTCCAGCGAAGAGGATGAAGAAGCTGAACAAGGAAGTTGATTTCCCCCGCCTAAAATCTATCTTACCTTTAATTTTTTTTCTTTTCAGCAAATTTACTTTTCTACACTTTTCATTCTAGTTAGGTTAGTTTATGAAGTTGCGTGTTTAGTTTTTGCATCTTTAAATTCTAGGTTTTAGGTTGTTATGATTTCCATTCAGTCCATTAAATGAAAATGCAAATGAATGAATGATTGTGAAAGATGTTATTAGATTTGCTAGCTTGTGTTTTTCTGGCTGTTTTTCTATGTGGTCTAAGATGATTGGTATGAGGACATTTTTAGGATGCTCAGGAAAAATTCAGTTATTGCTCTTTTTCTATTGTATTCTTAAGTAGCATTTGATAGCCTTTCTTTGCTTAGTATCCCTTGAGAGCCCTAGAAACTTCCCACCAGCTGAGTTTTAATGGCTGATTTTCTTGTCGCATGCACTGTTAGCAAGCTAATGTCTTTCGAAAATATGCACATACTTACCTCTATAGAACCAATTCAGATAGGCAGTTACTCAAATCCAATTTTCATCCATTCTATCTTCATTATAAGTTTGAGGGAGCCTTGTCCTTAGTTCTCAAAAGTCATTCTTTAAGCATTGAGGACAATGCTTCTTTTTAAGTTTGGGGGTGAGGGATTCTAGCTTGAAAGAATAGTATTCAATAGTATAGTCCCTGTTGTCGTAACATCTTGTAAAGCTATGAAAAATTTTTGGCCCTGTAATTCAGCTGTTTAAAAAAAAAAAGAGATTCAAAAGAGCTACAGCGTCCGGAATGGCTAGTAGCCCATAGCTGTCTTAGAAGACTTTAGTTAGTCAGCAGTGTAGGGAGGAAGTCGACGTCTTTGAAAGGAGGTTGAAAGGATTTTTTTTAGGCGAGCAAGGGAGAAGGTGAAGTGAGGCATTCAAATGTGAATAAAACATCTTAGTTTTAGTGCAATGGTTATTTGTTTCCTTTATGAGCTAATGCTAGAGCAAGCTAAGAAACACTTACCACAGTAATGAATTATAGGCAGTGGAAAGAGTAGCCAGAAGTCATAGTTAGCACGATTTAGCATTCAAAATGGTGGATAACAATGTCGCTTGAGGACAAGCAACAGTCCAAGTTTGAGGGTATGATAACTCTCAAAATAGAGAGTTATTTGGGTATAACTTTGATATAAATTAGCTAAAGTTAGTCTCACTTGCACCTTTATTCACTGGTTTTGTGCTTAAAAGACCATAAACACTAGCCTTCTACATTTTAGTATTGTCAATCTGCAACAGAACTAATTTTGGTGCATGTTGCTACAACTTTGACGATGCTGCAGCATTAAGATCCTGATTCAGAGAGCAGTAGAAAATGACAAGCTGACGGTGAAAGGACTGCACAACGGAATTACCATAGTAATTGGAGGTTTTACCCAAAAGTAATAGCTGAGTCCCTTAAGGTCCGGGTTGTTGCCCTAATATCTAAAAGGGGTATAAATACAACCAAGATGAGAAGCCTCCAAAGACACACACCTCAAGAAACATTACCCTTCACTCACTTTTCGAAGAAGTCCATCCTCATTCGAAGGAACCCTTTCTTAGAACCGCAGAGCAAGCAAAGAGTAGAAGAAGACTCTTCAGTGGCAGTTTGGAGCTGACCTTCAGCTGCTTTTTCTTCATTTTCTCATCTTTGTCCTATTTTCATTCTCACATTTTGTTTAACTCTCCTTATGGCTTTGCATAGCTAACAACTTGTGTAAGGGGGAGATGTTCTAGACTTGTTTTCTAGGCTGCAAACGTGCTGTTTGTTTTAATGGAAGTGTCATTTTTCTTCATTTTCAATGTGCTTGATCACCATGTTGGAATACCTTCTTGTTTGCTTTTGGAAAATCGTAATAGGAAGCGAAATACTTCATCTTGAGCTAGAGTCTACTTAAGTTTAGCGTGTGGTGACTTAGGGATAAAAATCACCTAGCTTGATCATAAAAACTGTGTATATATGCTATTGATGTTTGTCGATGAATGTTAGTAGTAGAAAATCTGGGGTGTTTGGAAAAGCATCTTGTCTGTTTGACCACTACACTTACTCCATTAATGCTACAACATCGTTAGGGTGGCCCAGAAGAGTCGACTCACTCTCCCCCTTGCGCCTTTATTTTACAAGATATTACTGAGTGATTGTAGATGTTTGGTACTTTTAACGAACGAAATTATACCCTGTGTTTGCATTGAGATATTTATTTCGAAGTTTTCATCTCATCACTGTTAAGTATTAAGTGGAAGAAAACCCCATTGCTTGTCATAATATTTTCTTGAATGAATATCGAATGTTTAAGCATTTAGTCTCTGTGAATTCAAACTTTTATTACTTGCTGCAACGATTGTATACACTTGCACATAGAATAATTGGTAGCACAATTAGTGGACAACAATTATTATTTCACAGGTAGACCAAGTAACTCGATCTTAATCCTGAGTGAGTTATGGACTCTTATCTATAAGTGATCGTCCTTTGATTTGTATGGTGAGAGTGACCTGGGTCGCCGACTAAATATTCCTAGCATTTTGGGGACGAGACCGAGTGGGAAATTGAGAACATAACCTACACAAGATGAAATTCACTCCTTCCAACTTTAGAGTAAATAGATTAGTGTTCTCTTACTGACTCCGGGACTTGAACAATAGGGGCCCCACTCTCTCACTAGCCAGAGAGGGACTTCTATTTAATGGTCGGACCATAAACAAGTTGTTCGTTAGAGGATTAGTTGTACTTAAGGTGAAAGAGGTAACTCAAGAATAAAATGGTAATTTGACCTAGCTGAAGTTACAAACACTCATGAAGGACTGACTTACCGTTAATGGTCAATATCCATGGACGCAAAATATTCTACAATGCAAAGAGTGCAGCTATGAGTCTTTAGTGGAGTGACTCATAGTTAACGAATGTTGGTTACTTTGGTTAATGAGTTTAATCATTTAATCTCGTATCGTTGGAGCTTCTAATATGTAGGTCCATTAAGTCCCCCACTAGCTCATAACGGTTAAAACAAGGACCAATGTTTTTGAAAGAATTTGAATTGTTCAATTTAAATAAGGATTGTAGGTTAATTGTATAAGATACAAATGTATCTTATAGATGAGATGTGTATCTCAAAAAAAAAAAAAAACAAAATAACATAATGTATATAAGATACATTATAATATAAAGTTTTTGAATCACATTCAAAATTAAACTTTATAATATAAGAGTTATATTTGAATAAGATTCAAATAATACTTAATAGAATTGGATTGAATGTAAAAAAAATATATATATATATATATATATGAATTGGATTTGTATTAAAGGTTAAAATTAATGTGAATGAGATTCCCATTAAAACTATTATACATATGAATATGATAAAATAAACCTTTAATTAAATATATGATATTTAATTATGATTAATTAATTAGTTTAATGATTAATTAATTAATTAAATTAATTTAAATTTAATTAACCACCCTAAGAAGATGGTGGGTGGGGAGATTGTTTTCACCCCACCCCTCTTCTCTCTATAAATTAGGAGGTGTGTTATTGTTCAAGGGTTGAACAATTCTCTCTAAAAAAACTCTCTCACGAAAACTCCCTCATTTCAAAAGAGGGTTCTTATCATCATACATCATATCTAATATATTATGGAAATCTTGTTGCGATTAAAACGTCATTTACCGACAAGGGGATATATGTATATATATATATGCGAGTGTGTGTTTTGAGTACAACATATCGAGTAGAGATTTGAACTTATGATGTATTGATTAAAGATGAGTACCAATCACCACTCAGCTAAACTCAGATTAATTACACTAGTAATTATCAAATTGTATAATCACAATATTTTATACGTACTCAACTTTTTTAAAAAATTAATCTTAATACATGATAAAAGAACGTAGACAAAAACAAGTAAAATTAAAAGTTTAGAACTGATCACCATGCCAAGTTTAGAAACTAGAAGTAAAAATTGATTTAAAAAAAAAAAAAAAGAGGCCAAATGACTAAACACTAGCCGTTACCAAAGCTTGGAAACGTTCAAAGGTACGGAGTCGGATTCGTAGCATTCCCCGCCTCCTTCGCCTGCACCTCGCTTCTTCCTCTCCAACTCCATCAATGGCCGTTCCACATTCTCCCTCCCCGCTCCCTGTTTCTCCTCCCCGATTGAATCTCTCAACCAAACCCGGGTCTAAACTCTGCTGCTGTTCTTCCTCAGATCCGCCTCCGCAATCCCATGGAGAATCTCATTTCCTTGGTCAACAAACTCCAGCGAGCTTGCACTGCTCTTGGCGACCATGGCGAAGAGAGCGCTTTGCCCACTCTCTGGGACTCCCTCCCCGCCATTGCCGTCGTCGGAGGCCAGGTCAAACGCCGCTCCTTTTCCATTCCTTCGTTATTGCTCAATTCGTTAATTTATGTTGGATTATAGGCCATCCGATTTCTGTTTCATGAAAAATTCCGGCGTTTTGTTGCCTTCATATCGATTGTGGTCGAAATTGTGAATTGCTTCTCTTATCGAATTCTGATTGTATAATTCAACACGTGAATTACTTGTCCCTTTCATTTCGGGTTCTATTATATAATTTATTTATGCATTTCTTAAGTTCATCGCCAGGATTCCTGTTCTCTTGGTCCTTTCCCTCCCACTCTCTTCGAATCTAACGAATTCACCAGCAATTACTCCACTAATGAGTTTGCCTTCATATTGAACTTCACTTTCTTGCACGAGTTGAATTATACAAACGTTAAATTATATGCTTATAAACCATATACTTCCGTAGCTATGTCGTCAAAGTCCCACGAGTTAGCTCCTTTGATGTTATCCAAAAAGTTTATATATCAAAATTTACCGATACCCTTATTCTTCTCGACTGCAAACCAATCATACAGATAATTGTCTAATATGATAAAGAAATTTTCCAGTCCCATTTCATTTTTTTCGTTGTGTTTCTTACTATTCCTTCAATTGCTCGTGTTTTAGTCCCTTTGGATATTATACAATAAAGACATAAATGAATATTCCATTGGATAAAGTAACCTTAGAGACTTGATAGTGAATTTTGAAGAAGATTTAGTATAGTTCACCCGTTTATTTAATAAGAATGAAACTCTCTAGTACTCCATTTCACCACAAGCGCCCATTTAAAAAATGACATAGATTGCATTTGTGCAGGTGTATAATTAGAACGCAATTAGTTATGTCATAAAAAAAAAGTGCAATTAGTTATGATTTTGATTTTTCTATTGAGCATTAAATTATGCATTACCAGCGAGTACTTATGTGATCTATACTCACTCAATCATTGAAATATGCATGCGTAATGTACTATATTACATACCACATTAATTTATAAATGTTGTTTATACACGAGTCATCTTAAATTGAATTTAATATTTTCATATTTACTTGGACTCTCGTTCCATTAAATTGTGCACCTTAATCCATCTGCACCAACCTTTGCGATTGACATTAGTTCTTATATTGCAATTCGTGTTATCAATTCCCATGATGTGTCCTAGACGAAGAGTCCACTGAACTGATTATCTTATTGGTTGTAGAGCTCTGGCAAGTCATCGGTTCTGGAGAGCATTGTTGGAAAAGACTTTTTACCTCGTGGAGCTGGTAAATTTATGCTGTTATCTCCTTTTTGCTGATGGTTCTTCCCTCATTTAAAGGGTAGTACGTGCAACAATTATGAAAGAGGCTATGTGAACTTGAAAAGTACTTCAGAGAAGAATTTCCTTGCCTTGTTGTTCATCATTGGTGGGGATGGGGGGACTATTGCCATAAGAACATTGATGTTTTTATAATCAGTTGCTGAAAGACAAGTAACTTTGTCAAATTTTAAGCTGTTGGTTTTCTCGCCCTTTGTCTGATAGGTTGACTTAAGAAATTTTTGCTTTAATACCGTTACTGGCTAACACCCATCTTCAGTCAGGAAATAGGGATATTTGGTCTTGTGGTTCTTTTCTTCATTCTTTTATGCAATCCTTGTCCCTCTTCTTCCCCTTCATCGTGGAAGGTTAATATTTACAATAAGGTCAAATTCTTTGCTTGGACAAGTATTGCACAGGGTATTAACACTGTGGATTGGGTTCAAAGGAATTTTTTCTTCTTGTTGAGGTGCTGCATTCTCTGTAGAAAGGTGTTTGAGGATTTTGGCCATATTTTTTGAAATTGTCAGTTTCCTTGCTGGATGTGGGATTGTTTTCTTGAGGTTTTTGGGGTCTGTTTGGCCTGTAATAGAGATTGTTGTCTTATGATAATGGAGGAGGTTTTTTTCATCTTCCCTTTAAGAATAAGGGCAGTGTTATTTGTCGGGTTGGTTTCTAATGGTTTTATGATGTATTTGACTTGATAGGAATCATAGAATCTTTAGGGGGAGTGGAGAGGTATTGGGTTTCATTCTCCCTCTAAGGAGAAGGTAGTGTTCTCTGTAGGGAAGTGGAGAGGTTTTGGGAGGAGGTTGATCCTTGCTTTGCTAGTTGGGCGTCTGTTTCTAAGACTTTTGTAATTATCCATTAGGTATTATTCTTCTGGATTGAAGCTTTTTTTGAGTCTCTAGAGGAGGTTGGTCCCTTGATAGGTTTAATGCCTCGCTTTGGGCATTTGTTTCTAAAAACTTTTCTAATAATTTGTTAGGTATTATTTTTTTGGATTGGAGCCCTTTTTTTATTTTGTTAGGTTAGGTCCTTATGGATGCCCTTTTTGTAGGCCAGTCTTTTTGGGTTTTTTGTCGGGCCTTTTATATTCTTTCATTTTTCTGAATGTGAGCATGGTTTCTCAATTAATTTTTTTTTAAAGCTTTTGGAAATTCTCTTTAAAAGGTGATGCAACTTTTTATATTAATGGTCCTTGTCACTCCTGGTAGTTACAAACTGAACATGCAACTTTTATAAGTTGTAATTTAGGTATGACACTCCTGGAAACTTATATTGTATTATCCATGTTTATTTTTTGACAAGAAACGAACTTTTCATTGATAAATGAAAAGGAACAAAAAATGTTCAAAGATACAAACCCTCGAAGGGGTGAAATGAAGGGGGAGAATAATGAGCCTGGAAGGAGAATAATGAGCCCTTTTCAAGCCGTCGTTTTCCAATAGTTACGCAAATATGAAATTTTATTAACAAGTTTTATTATCACGCTAATGTTCACATTATTTGGGACTTAAATAAGATACTGACATATTGTTTGCAGGGATTGTCACCCGTCGCCCTCTTGTTTTGCAGCTTCATAGGATTGACGATGGAAAAGAATATGGAGAGTTCATGCATCTCCCTAGGAAGAAATTTACCGATTTCGGTATGTCTTCATACATCTTACAAGCTAACAAATTTTGGACCTCTTATTTGTTGATTAGCAAATCATTTATTTTTCGATCAACTTGTTGCATGTGCAACTCTTCTCCTTACTCATAGCAAATTTCTGCAGCTGCCGTGAGGCAGGAAATATCAGATGAAACTGATAGAGAAACAGGACGCTCCAAACAAATTTCAAGTGTTCCAATCCATCTCAGTATCTATTCCCCTAATGGTGAGATTTATATGTTGATTACAAGACTTATTTTTCCTTTTTAAGCAGCTTAAGTTATTTTCATAGAGTTACTCTTGATGATGCATGGTAGATAGACTAAGATTCAATTTCGATACGTAATTTTGACCAAAACCTTTTCTTTTGGTTTTTTCCTAAGTAACTTGAGTCTAGGACTAGGTAGTAAAGTCCATTTGGATCACTAACTTGTTAGTTGTTCAGTTATGATAATACAAAGTGACGAGAGAGAGAACAAAACTTGCCTTCTTACTAGTAATAAGCGACTAATTTTCTTGTATGGTTTATTTGTGTTGATCTATTTGTAACCTTTGGTCTTTGAGGGGATATCTCATCTTCCTTTTTTTTTTCTGTATGCTTTCTCCTCTTCAATAAAATTTTCAGTTTCCTATAAAAAAAACGAAAAAAATTTGTGTTGATCTATTTATTTACATTTAATAATTAAGTTGATCCACACAAAATAAATTGCATAGTAAGTAGGGACTCATACTTATAGGTGTGGAGGCTAATTTCTTCAATCGAGTGAGAAAAAATAAATTATATAATTTTAGTCTGAATTTTAAGTTAGATTTTCAAAGTCCCAAATTTTTTTTTTAAAGTTAGAATTTGACATATGAGGGATAGGTTCAATTTGACTCAGCTCTCTTGCTCGTTAGGTTTTTGTTAGCTTCAACAATGAATAGTTAACTTAATTATTTTTCATTTATTATATAACATTTTAGGCAAAGGTGAAAAAAATATTAATTTTATATTTCTCCAGTTGCTTATGTGAAAAATGTACTAATTTACTTAAAATGGATGTAACACATTAATAATAAACCAACAAACTAAAGAGAACTAGAAGTACCTTTCAATAGAATAATATTTTGAGGGTCGAAGATGTCTTGAGAAGAGGTTTGGATGCTCGCAGTTTAATGCCTCTCTTTACGTCTTTGTAACTCAGGAGATTGAAGAATCTTGAGGTCGAGGGGGAAAATACTCTCTTCGCTCTCCTCCCTTGTGGGTTTTTTATTTTTTTAGAACAAGTTCATCAAGGTTGAGTCACTAGGTAAGTAAATCAAGCTAGTTCATTCAAGTTTGTTTATGTTAGTTCCTCACAAGTTTAGCCAAGTTGCCTGATTGGAAAAGCCATGGAAAGCAATAATTGTTGTATTGGTAATAAATATTTTTGTATTTGGAAAAAAAATGACTCTTTTTTTTTTTTCTTTTTATTTATTTATTTATTTTTTATTGAAGATATGTTTGTAGGAGCTATACTGCCTCTTCAAATGTCTCATTTAACAGGGTTTGAGGAACTATTTGTGGAGATGTTGCAATTACTGATTCATTCGTCATTTTTTAGACAAATTAGAAATTCATTGGGAGCTATTTGTGGTGTTGCCTATCTTTGGTGGTAGAAGGATAATTTTTGTTCCCATGGGTTGGGATAAGGAGGATTGGTGCGCTTTTTAGGATATGTTAAAAGTTTGTTTGTTAAAATTTGATGGAGAGAACTCGTTGGAAAAAGATAGAAAGTTTTCAAAGGCCAAAACGCTACCAACAGAGGTTTCTAAATCCTCCTACGCAGAGGCAGTAAAGAAAGGAAGTTGAAAGGAGGCAATCCGTGCATCAGAGGTTGACTCATCGGTTGGAAAAAGCTCTTTGGTTAAGGAAAGGGAAATCGAGAAGAGGAAGAACTCCTTTTGGGTCAAAAAGGAAGTAGAGGTTGTGGAGATAGGAAAATGAAGGTGAATGGGAAAATTTCATTTGAAGATTGAGAAATGGGACTTTGAAAAACATAGTAGAAAACAATTTGTGTATGGGTACGATGGATGGATAAAAATCTAGAACCACCTCTAAAGTTTTGAAAAAGATAGTGTTTTGAAGCTATAGGAAGCCACTTTAGCGGTTTAGTGGACATTTCTTCAAAATCCTTGAACTTGCTTGATTGTTTAGAAGTTCTTATGCTAGTAGAAACTAATTCTTCTGGCTTTCTTGCCCGCTTCAAACGAGATTACTGATCCACAACTTGGTTCTTTCGAGGTTTGAGTATTGGATGACTGTAAATCGAAGGGAGAAATATCTCTCAAGAGACTGAGACGGATCATTCAAACCTTTTTTTGATCTCAGGAACTTTCCAAATTCTCTCGACTTCAAAATAATTGAGGCGATTTTTTGTAAGACGGAAAGTTTGATAATAGGAAGCCTTCTCTTTACTCTGATCATTTGAGGACTCCAAATCTCAGAAACTTTAAAGGTTAAGGAAGTTAATACCAATAGTGTCACGTCAATATAATTTAAGTTCCGGATATAAATTTTCTATGTTACATTTTATTTTAACAACTAATATTTCAAAAGATAAAGTACACACTAGGTATTACCCTAGTTCCAAATACCTAGTTCCAATCACTGAATAGGTAGGCTTTAATTAAGGGCAACAAATTTTTGGTTGGTTCCGCTGTGCAGCAGTTTTGAGGATTGAGATCTTTTAGTTTTCTTGTCTTCTCTTGGTGGATGGAGGTTTCAGATTCTTTACTTCTTGATGTAGTTAGTTGTTAGCAAGGTTCAAAATTTCACTCGACACTTCGATGGTCTCGACATCAACATTGGGGGAGAAAATATTTTTCCCCCAATATCGTCGACATGTCGAGAAAATGACAACATGTCCCAAATGTCGATTATTTTTTTTTGGCATTGAATCCCTAAACGATTGAGAAAATGTGGATCCTTAGTGGCCTGCTAGTTTGAGACTTAGAGGAAGATCTTTGTTTTTCAAGAAAAAATCTAGATTGAAAATTTTGAATCCAAACCTTAAAAAAAGAATGATTTCTGTTCAAAAACGTCTTTTAGTTTTTGTGTAAATTCAAAGCTGGTAGAAGAGCAAACAGAAAAGTTGAAAATAATAGTAAAAACTTAGCATTTTCTATTTTTCTTTTAAACAAATTAAAGTTAAATTCTTATCATTTTGGTTCAAAAAAGGGAAAAAAAAACGTCAAATTAAATTTAAGTATAAAAATCTAATAAAATTTTAAAGAAATTGGTTATAAACAATCGATATATAAAAAACTTAATTTAAATTAAATTTAACTAAAAATTCTAACAAAATCTTAAAGTAATTGATTTAAAAGAAAAACAAATTTTAAATTAAATTTAACTGACGAAATCTTAAAACAAACAAAGAATTAAAATCAATTTAACTAATTATTATTAAACATTTAAATTTTAGAAACACTTTATCATTTTGGTTCAAAAAAGGAAAAAAAAACAAACGTCAAATTAAATTGAACTATAAAAATCTAATAAAATCTTAATGAAATAGATTATAAACAATCGCTAATTCTTAAACTAAATTTAACTAAAAAAATCTAACAAAATCTTAAAGAAACATATAATCGATTTAAAAAAAACAAAATTTAAATTAAATTTAACTAAAAAATCTAACAAAATCTTCAAGTAATTGATTTAAAAGAAAAACAAATTTTAAATTAAATTTAACTAACCAAATCTTAAAACAAACTAATAAAAGAAAATCAATTTAACTAATTATTATTAAACATTTAAATTTTAAACTACATCTAATTTTTTAAAAATTATTTCATACTTTATATATATCTATATTTCACCTATTTTGTTTAATTATCTAACTAGATGAGATTAGAAATTATCAATAAAAAAGCAATATTAAACTTTAATTTACTGATTCAAATAATTTTCATATATGTATACGTGATTTTGTTTCAACATTTTCATTGTGACTATAATTTTATAAGTATATTACTTATATGGTTAAATATGATGGTTAGAAGTGATTAGTTATAGGCTAATTAAACTACCATTAAAGTAGTATTTACTAGTTTAAAAAATTTCCATCAATATCCACTATTTTCGTAATTTTTCCCGAAATATCCATTCGACATGTCCGTAAAATCGAGACCTCGACATTTCCATCAACATCGACATTTTGAACCTTGGTTGTTAGATATTAACACTATCTGTTGAGTTTTAGCTTATATCAATTCTTTAGTTTAGTTTATAGTTAACATACAGTAACTTGTAGTTACCTGGTATTTAGGTTTCCAGCATCCTTTATAAATAGGTGCTGGCTTCTCTAATAAAGGCAGATTACTATTTACTTCCAGAAACTCCAGCACTAGTGTGCATCAAATTGGTATAAGAGCACCCAATTTTCTGGGCACTCTTATGGCGGAAAAGAAACCAGCCACCACCGAGCCATCCAAAAGGACGTAGGTGAGATTAAGCAGATTTTGGAAATCATCCATGAGAAACTCGAAGCTTTGGGTATGCAGCAATCGCCGGTTAGAACCACCCCACAACACCCTGCAAGAATGGATCAAGAAGTTGGGTTGGAGGGCCGAAGGACTGCCTATCCACAAGAAGGGTAGACAGCCCCACCAAGAAGACCCCAATCAATCAATTTGGGACTAAAAAAAAAAAACCGCAACATTTTCGCCAAGAAGTCAATCGAACCCCTTATTTCAGCGGCGAAATGAGCTAATGTTTGATTTCTCGAGCGATGAGGAAGACGAGCTATTAGCCTATGAAGGTGAGAGATTTGGTAGGTATCCTAACCCAATTAGACAGCAAGAAAACAGTGAATACAAGATGAAAAATGAAAATTGACCTTCATAGTTTTAATGGCAAGATGGATATAGAGGGATTCTTTAATTGGATAAAAAATGTAGAAAATTTTTTCAGCTATATGAGTACTCCCGAACATAATAAGGTTCGGTTGGTAGCTTTAAAACTAAAAGGGGGAGCGTCTGCTTGGTACTTGGTAGGATCAATTGGAAATTAATAGGCAACGCTATGGAAAGTAACCTATTAGGAGTTGGGAGCGTATGAAGAAACTTATGAGAGAGTGCTTTCTCCCAATCAATTTTGAACAAATCTTGTACAATCAATATCAAAATTGTAAATAAAGTTCAAGATCCATAACAGATTACACAAAAGAATTTCATCGCTTCGGTGCAAGAACAAATCTAGCG